CCTTTTTAAATAAGAACTTTCTTCTCAGCATTGGATATTTCCTAATTTCGTACATTTAATACAAGGGAAAATGATTAACTTGAAGCAAACCTAGAAGCTGCAGCTTTAAATGCAAAATTACAGGTTGAAAACCCACAAGAGGATTGTCACTTATGTCAAGAAATCAAGAATGAAAAAACAAAAGACATTATAAGACTGCTGCCACCCTAATGAGCACCGTTCAGAATCCCACAGACTATTATTTACTTTGAAGCATCACTCCTAGTCTTTACTTTAAGGCTCTAGGTGTTTATCAAAGTGAATGTGTAATTCTGACTCTCTAAGCATACTTATCAGTTTCCCCACATCGAGAAATCGTTTTCCCTTGATTACAAAGTTTTTCTTTTTCAGAAAATAAAGGTTAAACTCTGGGATTTTGCAACTAACACTACACATGAAAAGAACTAGGCAGACGATTGTTTAATTACACACAGAGATAACTGTGTTTTTGTTTTCCACTTTTAATTTATGAACTGTGCTGAAGGCATTTTCAAATAATCTCAGAAGCTCCTGTAAATTAAACAAATCCAACATGATTATTCTTCCCAAAATTCTTCTTATTTCCACGTTGCTCGGTGATTTTGTAGGTTTTCTTTTATAAAAGAAACATTTTGACGGTTCAGAGAAATCAACATGTATAGGTATTTGGATCTTTACCGCATTGCAAGCATCATTTGTTTGTTGTAAATAGATTGTGCGGGAACTGCAGCATGCATCTTTCCGAAATTCTGGTTTTCGTGTAACATCCGCATTAGCTTTATCATCAGATTTATAAACGGGAAGATTTCAATGAAGTTTGATGAAAGCAGGAGCCAGGGCTCTAAATGAGAGGACAACAGCTTACAAGTCTGCTGTGTGGAGTTGTCACACCCTCGCCTGCCTCCCCATCCCCTAGTTTTCTCCCATAGTCCGGAGACATGCAGTCCAGGTTAGCTGGCATCAGTAAATTGCCCTCAGTGTGTGCGTGTGAGTAATGCGTGTGTGTGTGTATAGACAATGGACTGGCTTCCTGCCTCGGTGCAGTTCCACCCTCTGCCTGCGGGGTTAGTTTCCACTTCACTGCGGCCCCCTGCAAGATAAAGCAGTAACTGAAAATGGAGGGGTGTAATACGCAGCTCCAGTCCTTCTGTGAGTCATTTCTTTCAGATGCATTTTTTTCCCTTACTACTGCTGAGTGACATGCTCTGGGACACACTTCTACAAATCTGTTTTGTTCAGTCTGAACCGAAAAAGAAAAATAGCCCTTTGCGTTCAGTCCCCAGTCCCTTCCAGAGAGAGGCTGGGACTGAAATATAAATGTGAGTCATGAGAGCCGGCTGAGGGGAGAAGGGGAAGGTGATGTTCACCCAAGCTGAACGAAAGTACTGTGCTTGCTGGCTTGGACTGCTGGGTAGGTTTCAGCAGCACCTTCCGTAGATATGGATTAGAAAGAAACTTCATCCCCAGAGATTAGGTTGCAGGTCACTTGGCAGACACGGGTAATTGTGCTTGAACCGTTGAAGGTATGTCTCAGGGCCTGCCCTGGGTTCACTGTTGTGGCTTGATTATGGTTCCTCAGATTTTCCTCAAGAAGGAGTAAAGAGTTATGAGAAAGATTGCAGCTAGGATGATAGAGCTTCTGGATTGAAAACTGTATTCAGGACCAGTTAAGGTGAAACTTTCTCTACATTTAAGAGACTGTGGTGGGATTTATGACAAGACCAGATACAGTAGTACAGCAGTGCCGAGCTCTGCTGGTTTCCCATATCGCAGGCCTGTCATTAGATATATATATTTGAAAAAATCACTTAGTCAAGTAAATCTGAGTGTAGAAATCGAGTAACTCCATACCCTTGCTCTGGCTGTAGTCTTATCCTGAACACTAACCACAGATTTTTACAGTAAATGTTTCAAGGTACAGTCTTGAAATCTGAATCCCCTGTGATAAGATTTGCTCTTAAATAGATTTCATTCAGCTGAGCTCTAAATGTACTGGGATCCTCATTCCATCAGGTCACAAATGGACAACCTGGCCTTTTTCAAGCAAGTGAGTGAGTTTCCCAGTTACTTCGTACAACCTAAAGCATGTGGTGCGTACATGTGTGTAACTTTTATAGGAAGGTGGGGAACCCTACTTCAAAGCTTCAAAACGGGGAAATTTAGGTCCCCACCCAATGTTCCTTTAACTAAGGATTAATCTCCATGATTAATATGTACTTTCACAGAAATTCGGAAGAGCAGACCTTATAATTAAACAATGGTTATAAACTCAGCATGATGTACAGACAGTTCTTTAACTTGACACTCCCTCGAGGAGATGGGGAGTTTCCACAATTTAATAACGTTTTTCCCCTGCTTCTAATTAAGGAAAAAAACTTTAAACTCATCCTTTCTAAAGTACAACAATAGTTACAATATTGGATGTAAAAAACTTCTCCAAAATATCATCACAATGACTTATTTTAAAGTCTAAAACCTAAAACTTGGTTTATCTATGTTGAGTTTTGTGGTTTTGTGTAGAAGAAATGCCAGTTTTTTAAGTCAAACTGATTGATTGCAGGTGTGATATGTGCTGACCATGACTTGTGTAAATCTTGATTAAAAGATTAAAACATTTTTTCCAATTTTGTCTGCTATAATAATAATAATAATAATAATAATAATAATAAACTTTATTTTATATAGCGCCTTTAAAGGTGACTTCTCAAAGCGCTTTACAGGATGACAATAACAATAAATAAGAAGACTACAACAATAAATAAGAAGATTTCACAAGATAGGACACAATTATAATTACAACAATCCAACAATAACAATAGAGGAGACCGTGGAAGATGGTATTAAGAAGAGCAGAGGGGTGAAGAATGGAACCAGTTAAGTAAAGGCTTTTCTGAAGAAGAAGGTTTTGAGTCTGGATTTGAAGGAGTTTAGAGAACGTGACTCTCTGATATCCTTGGGCAAAGAGTTCCAGAGCTTTGGGGCATAGCAGGAGAAGGCCCTGTCGCCCATACAATTTAGACGGTCTTGGGGGACAGTAAGGAGGGCAGAATTTGAAGAGCGGAGGTTGCGAGGGCGGGAGTAGGGCGATAAAAGTTCAGACAGGTATTGAGGTGCCAAGCCATGTAAAGCCTTATAGGTGAGCATGAGGATTTTAAAGTCTACGCGGAATTTGACCGGAAGCCAGTGCAAGGACTCCAGGGTAGGAGTAATGTGAACACTTGCACTAGATCTGGTCAGGATTCTGGCTGCTGAATTTTGGACATACTGCAGCTTGTTCAGAGTAGATTTAGATACCCCAGGGAGTAGAGCATTGCAGTAGTCAATTCGAGAGAATACAAACATGTTGATCAGCTTTTCAGCCACAGTTAATGATAGCATAGGGCGTAGTCTTGACAGTATGCTGTACATGTGGGTCAAATGTTAAGCCAGAATCGAATATAACCCCAAGGTATAGTTTATGTATACCTACATAAACATAGTATACATTACTATAGTTTATGTAATGAAGCCCTTAAGCGGTCCTGTCCGAGTCTGACCTTGGTGAATGGTTTTAAGAATACCAGAATGCAAACTATATTATACAGGGCCCTATTAACCACAATTTACAGTAAAAGGCAAAGCTAATAGAGTAATATGTAAAAAAAAACTCTAGGATGTTCATATAAATATCTTTGACAACATTTGTTTGTTTTTTCACATGGAGAAATTAACATGATTATAAAGCATAGCTAAACTTGTGCTATGAAATTTGATTTATTGTTTTTTCTGGCAGGGAAAATGTATTGGCACCTGAATGAAAAATCAAGCAGGCTCTCTTTTAAGAAAGATTTTAGATGCTTATAATAATTGAAATGATTTTTTTTTCTGTATCTGCTGTTCTCATGCAATTGAGTATGTGTCCTCCTTATCTGCAAGCACTCAATAAAATCTGTGGGCTACATCTGAGTATTGATTCCATTGATGTTTGCTTAGTCATCCCATTTAAGTTCTTGAACTTTTAAGGCATGTTTGAACACCTTTGAACAACTATTATTTTTTATACATTGGCAGTCATTTAGGTTTTCAATCAAAGACCCATTATCTTGATTGGAATATGAAATCTTTTTTCTAATAAAGGCCAGATAAAGGGAACCTTGGACTTGGTTTGTTCCTTCCTGAATTACTCCTTTTCAAAAGAAATTACTTTACTTAGAAAAGGGTTTTATTTTTTTGTCTGTGTGCAACATAGTGTATCTGAGGACTTCTGTTAATGCAATGAAAATGACAGACATTAGGTGTGTTAACACTCACAAAGATATAACAAACAAAATGTCCCATCTTTTAAAAGTGAGGTTACGTTTCAGCACAACAGAAATATTTGCTCATTTAAAAGCACCAGCAACATTTTGGGCACTGCATAGCAACCAGCAACTTTGCCACATTGTTGCCTTCCCATTATTCATTCATTCCAATGTTCAGTCGTTTGCAATTTTTATCTCCTGGTTTCATCAGCTAATAACGTAAAATCCACATTAGGCATTTTCAAGGTGTTGTTGCCATGTGTCATGACATCAATGTGCATTCTGTCCGTCATTAGAGAGAAGGCCATTCAGCCCATGTAGGTCATTGCAGAAGTAGTAGCTAATCTGAGGATCTGAGGAGCTCATCCAGCCTTTTTTAAAGAAACCCAGCTCTGCCAACATGGCTGGGTAGTTTGATCCATATTCCACAGCACTTTGGGTACAGAGGTTCCTCCTGTTCACAGTTTTGTTATGCACTTCCACATAGTATCCACTTTCGATTACAAAGTACAGCAGATCAGGCTCTTCTGCGTCTTCTAGAAAACTCGGTACCTCCTGGTCAGAAAGTACCGAGTCATGTTGGAGTCATGTTGGAGTCATGTTGGAGTCATGTTGGATTGATTCTGGGAGCACAAGCGTGAAGTTCACGGTGTTCCCTGGCTTGTGGGATATACAGTAACTCTGCTTTGTTTCCCTTTTCAGGTCCTGAGAGGGGCCCAGCTCATTGCTGTGGCATCTGCCGATCCTACAGCCACCGGAGTGGAGGGGTCACCACTGCAGGCGAGCGACATCCAAGTGCAGTACGTTCAGTTAGCACCTGTGACTGACCACACAGCCGCTGTTCAGGTGAGGGGTTGGTGATTCGGTCATGCAGTCATGGCACAGACTCTGTGCAAAAGTAAGCTCTTACGATGTTGCGTGTGCAGTGATTTTTGCAAACGTCTGACCCAAAACCCAGGGTAAGTGCAGAATACAGCACCCAGGCCATAAGGGGCAAATTAAAGATTAACAGCTCTCAGAATTTATCTTAATTTCTCTTAAATTGAAAACTACAAATTGAGACCCAGTGCTAAAGGCCATGATGACAATAATGCACATCTGAGCCTTAATGAAATGCAAGTAAATCATTTCTCAGGTCGGAGATGCATCTTAATTCATACAGTATCTGTATATTGTATATACTGTACTGTATATATGGTATATGAATTATACATCCTGTTTATACTTATTTAAATATATACTTTAAGTTTTAGGTGTCAAGGCAAGGTGGTTCTCATGTAGCAAAAAAAAGGCAGAGAATGATAAGCATAATGCATACCTCACAATTGGCTCCCTAGAGTTTTTGTGCTGATGAGGTCTAATCTTGATTGAAGCCTGCGCTCTTGGCACGAGGAGTGTATAATTCCCTGCCAGCATTTAGTAGCTGTAGGCACTTGTGGTAAAATTGCTACCACTTTCTTTTCATTTTGAGCTATAAAAAGGAAACGGCATGCTGCAAGTGATGGTTAGGAGCGGCTCCACGCAAGCAAAGAAAAGTGTCCCGTTGAAGCAAGCAGACAGTGGCTCAGGCAGGTGAAGCAAATCAGTTCCTTTCCGTGCAGTACTTGGCAGGGCACCGTTCCAGAGCTGACTGTAAACACAGCGCTAATGACCTGCCTAATAATGTAACAAGTTGAGGTGAAACATACGAAGACCTCTCTTTCCACTCCCGCCTTTTGATCTCTTTCTGTTAGTTTATCTGCACCTTGCCTTCCCAGCAAAGGGATTTTCTAAAAAAAATAAAAAAAATGAAGTACAGTACGGGAAAGAGCACAGCCCTTTTTTACCCTCTATCAGCTACAGAGATACAGAGAGCTCTCTGGCTTTTGAAGGAGAAGAGCAAGGAATCTGATTCTGTATAAGAAAGAAAACAGCATACAGTAGCATCGCCCTCCCCACCCCCACAATCAGAGATACCCCACTCCCAGGTTCTGCCAAAGAACCCCGAAAATAAAGTCACTTAAAAGTACTGAGCAATAAGGATCTGACCTTGTCTCTTCCTATGATCCTTGAGAGGATCCGAGCCACACAGAGTTCCATATCCATACTGTGGTATCCTAACGAGCAATGTGTACGTACTGTATAGTTCAGAAAGCAAATTAGAAGTGCCTCTTGTACTCAAACATGGTGGTATGCAGTACAGATTTTTTCTAATCCAACCAGACTTCAAACTAAACAATTTTATTTTGGTTGTACCACATACTGTATTTAATTTTCTACCCACATCAGTATTAAACAGGTATATGAGAGTGTTTTTCAAACTTCAGAACAATGCCTTGCCTACCTAAACAGATCTTCAGTGAATATATGCATTTTTTAATTCTCTCAGCCTAAATAAGACTTTACGGTAGAACTTCAGAATAAAGCCATGCATGCAGATCAAAGCACAGATTATTTTTTCAGAAGGCTAAAACAGGGCAGGACAAGTTATATCTTTCAGTTGATATCCCAGGATTCATCATAACATCCATCCGTGTTTTCCATGATTGCGTTGTACAGTGTGCATTTAAAAAGTGCCCTTTATTATTCTTTAAAAAGGATTCCCTGGTTTCCAGAGAAAAGAACAGGCTTGGTTATCTGTCACTTGATATTAATTTCTCTGGTTACCTCAAAGATCTAATACTCCAGGCTAACATACAGTACGTGCAGTTTAAAGGTAGGAAATTAATAAGCAGGTCATCCAGTTTTTCCATATAGGTTTCATAGTATATTACACATTTTACATCTTTAGAAAGTTATTTAACATACAGTAGCAAATCATATATTGTACTTATTCTATGACAGGAATTGCAGAGTTAATTTCAGTGACATTTTGGTATATCCAAATTATTATTATAACCATGTGTTATGATCAGATGAACAACAAATAACCTCTTGGCTCTACATCCATATCTGATAATGTGCATTATAATTTGTAACGCAATTTAAGTTTTGCAATTTATTGAGACCACTTTTATTTATTTTGGTTTCATGCATCATAATGTGTTGAAAAAAATAAACATGTGGATACTTTGAAAATTTAAAGCTCATATCTGGCTCGAAATATAAGACATTTTTCCAGAAACTTAAAACATACATCACGGTAGAAAAGTATGAGACAGCATCTGCAAGAGTCAGGATGAATTAATGTCTTTTGTGTTTCGTTTTTCCAAAAAATCAAAAGTCAATAATAGCTATAAAAGCCGTATAGCTAGTTTGGTCATTACTGATCTTCCATTCCTAGCACTATGTGAGCTCCGTGCACATTTGAAGGCTCAGTGCTCTGGGTTCTGGATGAATGCACTTAAAAACTGCTCTGTCCAACACACGTGAGAGCTCCTCTCAAGAGAAACATGGAGCAGTTCTTTCAGCTCTGTTTATACCACCGATCAGTGAGGTGGACATCCTCTTTCCCATTGCAGGCAGTGGGAGAATGGATGACCTGGTTGAAGCTTCAGCTAAGAGGCCTTCCCAGTGCAATAGCAAGATGTTAAAACTCTCTGTGGCAGCTCAGCTCCGTAGTACCTGAGCCTGAGAGAGAAGGGATTTACTAACACCCTGCAGCTCTTAGCAGACACCAAGGCCTTTCCGGATCCCATTATTTCTTAAGGCATCTTTGTCTTGTCTTAGTCCTGTGTAGATTTTAGTCAGGGATTTCCGAAGGAGTTCTGTGCTTCACTTACCTTTGCATTTCCTCCTTCCCACCATGCCTACTACACTGCTGTCACGCCCTCTGCAGCCAGAGGGCGCTCCTTCTCTGTCCTGTCCCTAGTTTCCGGTCTGCTGTCCTTCCTGTCCCTCTCTTTCCCTTGGGCTATATATTTCCGGGTCTTGCACTCTGTCCTGGCTCAGCATTGACGTTCGGATGTCCTGAGACCCGCCTAGCACCAGGGCAGCCCCACGTCCGCTCCCTGAGGGCATAGGTTTCTATACGGCATTCCTGAACTCTTTGTACTAATGAGCCCGGGCCTTTTTCCCGTCTCGCCGCTACGCATATGGGTCTTTTTCCGCTCTCCTGCTCCCCACGGTTAGTCCCTTTGGACGTCCGTGACAACTGCGGGTTTCTTCTTTTGTCAGGAGGCTGGTTGAATCAGTCCCGGAGAGATGGACTGACCTAGAGCTGTTTAATGGGTTTTTAGGTGGTATGATGCGGTATGTTCACTGAACTTCCAAGTCGTTGAAGCTCTTGGACAGCTTCAGCAATACAGTATGTATTTATTGTTACAGTATGTATCGTATGCACTGTGGAGTAGTGGTCAGGGTTCTGGACTGGGCTGTGAGACACTGCTGTTGTAGCTTTGAGACACTTCACAACCATTCCAGTGAAAAGCCTCAGCCGAGTAAATGTATATACACAAATGCTTCACTCTTCTAAATCTGTTAACATTTTTCATCATCATTCCTTTTCACATCCCAACAAATTTTCAAACTGAGACCAGTGCATAGACTTGCAGGACCTCGGGTTCCCTTCAGTGTAGGCAAGACTGTGTCCATGAGGGTTGTTCTCTGCATGGTGCCACTTACAGCTGTAGCTTGGTGCTATGGGAGCACACACACCTGGAGTGTGTGCTGCAGCTCAAGAGCTTTCAATCCGCAGCCTTGAGGAGGAATTCCTTCCGCACTGAATGCAAGGTGACATCCTGAAGCTTACTGCTGTGCTCTCATGGCTTACCCCCATCTTTGCTGTTTGAGCTGTGAAAAGCAAAATTAAAAGTGTGTTATTCAAAAGAAACACGTGATGTTGGGTATAACCCTTGCATTTTCAAGGCCTCACTGGTTCCATTTCCAGGGCGAAAATTTGGCAATAGCACATTTTCCTCACCAAGCAAACAATAGTTCAAAGAACTCTCTCTGTCTTTTCCCTTAACTTTGATAGCTAAAGTTCCTCCAAAAGACAGCTGTCAAGCCAAAGTAAATGGACTGGTGGAAGAGGAGTTCAAGAGCAGTCTGAGCTGTTTTAAGCAGAGCTTCTTAATCAGACTGCAGACCTATCTTCTCCAGGCTCTGCATTATTTCCTATATAATAAATTAAAGATTGCTAGTTCTTCCCAAAGAGTCAATGTGGAATTTTCTCCCTACTGTAATTTAACAGCATTATCTCAAGCAAGCTCTCTGTGAGGCAGATTTATAAGCTGCTGTAATGATGAAAAATGATGGTGTTGCTGGTTGCGTATGGTCTGATTAAGTTGAATCAAAATTCACATTAGTTTGCCTTTGAAACAAACCATAATAAATAGTTGAGTGCACTTTGGTCTTTTATCTCAAAATTCTTTAATTATTTCCTTATGAATGGATTATTTTGTTTCAAAGGCATTTTGAATTTATGTACTCTTTTTTCTTTTTTTTTCCTAAACAACATTTTAGTGGCTGTGGAGTCATCAGAATTGGGTTTCGGTAATATGCACATGTGTTTGGTCTTTATTTTTTATTTTTATTTAAGGAAAATTGTAAAATAAAGTTCAGACTGGTTGAGATCAATGATAATATTACCACATCTTAATGCAAGAAAAACATCTTTGAAACTTAGATGGAAGTTTGGAGTGTAATATGAAGTGCCTACTAGCATGTGGTGTGTAAATTTAGTTCTCCAAACTGTGGCCAGAGCTACACAGTGGCATTTTCCTGGGAACATTGATATTAAAAAATCATGTATGTTTTTGTATTTCAAAATCAATCCATTTAACTCCTCCGACATCATAATGTTGTCTGAAATAATGGGGATAATTTCCATTAAAAATATGGTAAATATAATGTCTTAAGGACATGCAGAGCATGTCTTTATATCCTCATCATTTCAAGTATTTATCTGCTGGAATGATTCTTCAGTA